TGAACATGTACGAAAAAATTATGCATTCAAAAATTAAACTCTATGATGATAATACTCCGTATATCAAAAAATTAAACTGAAAACATTTTTTAGATATTAAATTATTAGACCCATAATCTTTTCTGTTATTGGGGCATTATTATTTTTACTATGGTTGTATTTGGTTGAGGATAAAATATACGGAGTATCTTTTTCTTCAAGGATATATTATATTTTCCAAAAAAAATATATTATTTTCTAACCATATTTTCTATTGTTTGGTAGAAAAGAAATTTTCTAAAACAATAAAATGTTGAGAGTGGGATTTGAACCCACGCCCTTTCGGACCAGAACCTTAATCTGGCGCCTTAGACCAACTCGGCCATCTCAACTTGTTGAGATTGCAAACATCATAAAACTTCTAATCTTTTCATAAGCTGAAAATATTATGCCCCCGGTAAACCAAATATTTATTCCCTGAACTTATTTTAAATTTAATTTATATGATTATAAGTGTTCAAAATTTAAAAGTCTTTTGACTTTAGAAATAAATGACTCGAGTACCTACAGTGCTTCATAGGTAAATTAGTAGCAAGGGGTTTAGGAGAGGAGTTAAGAGCTAGGAATAATCATTTTTACCAACGGGTCTTTCTCAGGACATTTTTTTCAAAAAAAATTTTTTGGCACTAATTAAACGCTCCGGTTCCATGAAAATTTTTTGCACTTACAATTACCTAAAAATATACATACTCCGGGGTATATATATAAAATAAAAGGTGACGTGACTATTATTTTATATTATGTAATGAGTAGTAAAAATAATTACACAAAATTAATAAAGACTAGATGTGTGAAGAATGTATAATCAATTTTTTCCGACGGAAGGAGAATAACACAACCTATGTTTTTATTATGAAGTTTAAAGTTTGTCTAATTTGACTCGAAAAAGTCAAACTAGATAAATACACTGGGACGAAGAGAGTATTTGTCATTGTCCATGCTCTTAGAGCTCACAAAATTGTGGGGGCCTTGAACGATCGCTTTACTTGCTTCCTTAAAAGACAATGAGAGTAATGATGCAACGGCCTCTCTCCCAAATTAAATTGTTCATTTCCATTTATCCGCTTATGAGGTTTAATCTGTTTTTACATATTTATATACTACATGAAGAGTTTTTTCAAAACAATAAGTGACATGACTATTTTATATTATAAAATGATCAGTGAGAATGAACAAACAAGGTTAATAAAGTTGATCCTGTGACTAGTGTCAGAGTAAATCATTTTCGAACAGGGAGAGTAATACTTATTACCTCATTTATAATCACAATTTATGATTTATACATAATTTATTAATTTTTCACTCTTATTTAAGAGAGTCATAGTTCTGTCACTCGACCACAATATCTTTGACGATGTCAGGATTCTTTGATTTTGAATTAAGTAACATTTTTTCTTCTCTCTAATCATAGGCCTCACGTTATCTAGGGAGATTTTAATCCCTCTAAATTAAATTGTTTATCAATTTTCGTTATACATCAGACTACATAACAAAATCTTGATATTGTAATTTATTTAACAATGATGGAAAGAAATGTAAAATGTGTCCCCAAACAAATTAGTGTATCATATGGGCTATGGTGGAAATAGGCTAAGCCCTTTTCAAAGGGCCTATGTACGGACCTTATTCAGGGCATAATATGGCCTAGCCCATTCAAAAAGTCTTCTTCAATGAAGTCGGGTTAAATTCTTTTAGGCCCCGTTTGATACATGTAATTCAAACTATGAAATTAGAATTGTGTACTTCAATTCAAATTCTAGTGTTTAGCACAAAAATTATGTAGATTTGGAATTGATAGTGCAAAAAATAAATTGGAATTGGCAGAATTCAATTCTATGGATTTGAATCTCATAGAATTTCAATTCCAATTCAATTCCAATTCCATCAATTCCGTATACCAAACGTACCCTTAGGGTCCATTTGGTATACGGAATTGATGGAATTGGAATTAAAATTCCATAGGATTCAATTCCATAGAATTGAATTATGTCAACTCCAATTCATTTTTTGCACTATCAATTCCAAATCCACATAATTTTTGTACCACCAAGCACCAGAATTGGAATTGAAGCACTCAATTCCAATTTTATAGTTTGAATTCCGTGTACCAAACGGGGCCTTAGGGCTTCTTTTAGACCCATAAAACTGGTCCATTTGTCTAGCCCATCGATATCTTTAATTACGGAGTACTTTTATTTTAATTATAGACCCTTTTTTTAACTTTCTATTTCCTCAACTTGGAATGCCTTAAAAAGTTGGATTTTATTGATTTTTTTTAAGATTTTAAAAAAGTGGTGAATTTAGAAAATCTATAGAAAACATACAATTTAATTGAGACGGAGGAAATATATAATATGGAGTATGTAGAATTTAGAGGAAGAACTTCTTGGTGAGTTGCTTTACATTGATAACTCAACTCGTATATACAGTACATCAGTTACAAAATTTTTGTAAGGAAATACACTCCTACAAGGAAAAAAACTAAATACAATAAATGCAATATTATATAAAAATATTCTCTAATACTCGCCCTCAAGTTGAAGCATATATGAACATAAAAAATGTCCAACTTAGACAGTAACTAGCAAAAAAGTAGACCAAGAAGAGCCTTGGTGAAGATATGTGCAGTATGGAGCTGTGTGGGGACATATACGGTGACAATATGTTGACGCTTGGTGCATTCACGCACAATATGACAGGTAATATTAATGTGTTTAGAATGCTTGTGAAAGACGAGATCAGCAGCAATAAAGAGTGCAGACTTGTCACCTACAAATTCAGAGTGAATACGCATGGGACTGCTAACGCCGCAAGGATCACATGTATCCAACGAACCTCGACACAAGCATTAGCCATAGCATGGTATCCCGCTTCTGCAGAAGAATGGGACACAAGTGCTTGCTTCTTAGTACGCCATGATGTGTTTGAATCACCAAGAAGAATGAAGTAGCTTGTAACTGAACGATGGGTGAGAGGACAACTCGCCCAATCGGAGTCTGAATGAGCCAAAAGAGCCCGACTACTATCTTTTCTCGGGTAAATTTCACAAATGGTACCTGAACTTTAGCTGAAATTTCAAAGTGGTACCTGAACTTCAAATCTTTTCACAAAAATCCCTGAACTTACACAATCCTTTCACTAATGAGCCATTAGCCCGTTTCTAGGTTAACTTCTGGTCATTAGGGTCAAATTCGAATTTTATATATTTTAAAATTTTCAATTTGACCCCATTTCTTCTTTTCTTTTCTTCCACGCCCCGCCGCCGCCGCCCGCCGTTCAAAGTCGCCGGAAAATGAACTTTTTCCGATTCCGGCGGGACCAATGTCATTCTCTTCGTCTTGAGACGAGGATCAATAATATCCAAACCATTTTGTCTAATTTGGCCTGTAACTTCTCGAATCTAAATTTTTCTACTCGAAAAAACCTTAAAATTCGAAATTGGGTTTAAAATTGGGGGTTTTGCAAATCTTCATCAAATCTTGCAATTGAGGGGTCCTTGGAGGTCGCCCGGATGCCACGACCGCATTGGAGTTGGTGCCCGCCGTCAATTTCCGCCGGAATCGGAAAAAGTTCATTTTCCGGCGACTTTGACCGGCGGGCGGCGGCGGGGCGTGGAAGAAAAGAAAAGAAGAAATGGGGTCAAATTGAAAATTTTAAAATATATAAAATTCGAATTTGGCCCTAATGACCGGAAGTTAACCTAGAAACGGGCTAATGGCTCATTAGTGAAAGGATTGTGTAAGTTCAGGGATTTTTGTGAAAGGATTTGAAGTTCAGGTACCATTTGTGAAATTTACCCATCTTTTCTCAAAAGAATACTCAAACCTGGATGTCTTTTTATGTACCAAATAGCATGCAAAGTGGCATTTAGATTATCCAAACGAGGTGTCTGCATAAACTGAGAAAGAACATGAGCTGCATTAAACATTTCGGGTCGCATGATAAACAGATATAGTAATTGACCAACGATTTAATGATACTTAGTAGGATCACGAATCTTCAGGGAGCTTCTAAAAGTGGTAGGATTATGTGATACAGATAAAAGACTATCAACTAGTTTATACCCAGACAGATTGGCTTCCTGGATAATATTAAACAAGTTGTAGACAACCATACTTTGAAGAACTACTAAAACTATAAATACAAATCAGAACTTATGAAAACAAAAGAGGGGTCGGGAACTCCGAATACATATCTTCACCGGAGTCGCCTTGAGGGGACATGTGCCACCCCTCCCCCTCCCCTCCTCCGCCGTTGGAGTGACTCCTCCAAGTACTAGAATTCAACTTGGTTCACATCTTAATTATGCCATAATATATAGCAAATTGGTCATGGAGCATTTTGGTTCACAAATGAAAGTTTTCTTTTATGTGCTCATACACGTACTTGTGTGTGTGTGTGTGATGTAGAACAAGGTGTGTACGTACAAATATATAATAACAATGGTGTTAATTGATTGGCCATACATCATGACATTCTTCCCCCACTGACAACTGGTATTTAATAAAATGTCACATAGGAGATGCCAAATCTGTCCTTAGATGGAGAGGTGGGTGCACTGGTCGGGTAACATGACATGCATGCCATATCAGCTAAGCCCGGATAAAAAAAAATAGTACTCCCCACTCCCTATATATGTCTATTTTTGTAATAAAGGGGCAGCCAATGAGCGTTGCGCAGTTGGCAAAAGTCGGAAGAAGTGTCAGGAGAGTAGATTTCGGTTCGATTCATAGCAACTGAGATAATTATTCTAAGCATAGAGTCTTTGCAAGTATCAAGTACAAGTTTTACTGCTTGCTACCAATCTGCGATTAAAATCTAATCTACCTTTTCTTAGATAATGGGCAAAAGAGAAGATATATTCTAGGACGAAGTTAGGTATACTCCAAAGATGATATTTCCCATTTGTACTTCAAATATTTACATTTACACTTTGATGGTTTACATTGACATAAAATCAAAGTGCGATCACAAATTTTCACACTAATATTTTATATCCGTGTAATCCATGCAAGTGTGAGTAGTGTAAATTTTTGGAGTACATGTCGGGGTAGATCGTTCTTTGGATAAAAGTAACTTGGTTCTACATTCTATGAACAAACAATACATTTTTTAGAGGGGAAATAGCTACCCGGTCGGTAATGAATGTCTCTATTCACTATTCAAAATTCACGATAACTTTTGTTTATTTGGGTTTTTTATTATTTATTTGATACAGTAAAATTTATTATCATCTCTTGTTTTATAAAATTTTTAATGTAATTTTTAAATACTTCGTATGTAAGTTATACATTTCATTTATGCACCAATTTTTAAGTAAAATGAATTTAAAATATATGAGAGTTTTCATTGTACTGCGAAAAGATGAATTGTGGAACAGAGGAAATACAAATATTGATGAAAATAAGACCTTCAATATATTCATGAGGGTGTCCAATTAGGCACCATTATATTCATTTAAGTCACCAATGACTACACCATATCCATTAAGCCATCTACGGTGCTCCATTTATAAAATTGATATTTCCTACATGCCCCTCATATTTCATTAACCCCACCTCAACCCCCAACTCCAACCTCACCCGATTCCTTGTTTTAGCATGGGGCTAGGGTCGGGGGTTTAATAAAAATATGATCTAATATTAATTTTCTTTAACTTATATTCATGATATCAATTTTAATTGTAAAATGTTAAAATTGGACAAATATTTTAACATAGAGATAATATTTATTACACTGTATTTTAAAAAAACGAGGAATATAATTTACTTTTAGACTCAATGAGTATTAAAAAATCTTAGCAAATCTCTTGCGGTTCACATGATCAATTTTTATTCACTTTATTTTCTTATTTTCATTAGTTATTTGATAAAATAAAGTAATCATGTCACCACTAGTTTTGTAGATCTTTTAACGTAGTATTTTATGATACTTCTTATTTTTTTAATTGTACATCATATTTCATATAAAATGATTTAAAAATAATTTTCAAGCAAACATCGTAAACCAAAACATGCAATATAGATTGGGACGGAGGGAGTTTTACTATTATTAGATAGTATGAATTTTATTTCTAGGCATGATAAATCATTCGAAAATTCACAAAATTAATTTTTTAAAAACAGAAAAAAAGGGGTAAACTTATCAGAAAAATCTGAAAAGTATATAAAAAAAATCTCCAAAATCCAATAACAAATTGTATTTGATCGAACAAAAGTGTGAGTAGCATATTCATAGATAGATGACAATTTGGGGGAAGGGTTAGAAATTAAACTTGTCGTGTTACAATTATTTTAGTGATTTGTACACTATTTTAGCCAATGCTGTAATAGGCAATCTTTAATTATAAAAAGCAAAAGTCACTAATAGTAAGGTCACAATTGCAATCACTTTCATTATTTCCACATTGTTGTTTTTGTTTACCACATTGCGTGACACAATAATGAAAGTAGGCTTTGTCTTTTACATGTAATAGGTTTACATATATCAAAAGATCAACCCTCCATTTCCATCTAATTAACCAATTGACTTTCAAGACTATCAAAAAAACGACCCCATGTGAGAAGGTAAATTATTGGTTTTGACCACAGATTGATGACGGGAACAGAAATAACGAATTCTCATTCCGTATTTTCTGTTTCTTTTTCTTTTTTCCTTTCTCGTTGCTTTCTTTTCTCTTTTTTGTTGCTTCTTTTCCTTTTTTATTTTATTCATTTTTCATTGTTTAGTTTTTAGTTTCATTTGTATTTTTTTAATTTTTTTCAATTTTTATTTTTGTTTCTTTTATATGTATATTTTCAATTTTTTAAGTTTGTATGACTTTATTTTTTGGTTTAATTAATATAAATTAAATTAAGTGATAAAACTGACATGACGTTGAATTAGCAGAAGAAAAAGAGAAGAAAAACAGGAATCATACCAATTACCAATAGGTTAAGGAAGTGAGGGCGCACAAATCTTAATTATGGCTTAGCGTTAAACTTACTTTTGGTCTCATAATTATATTGCAATTTGTATTATCCATTTGGGATTGATGTGATTGTAGACCTTTTATAATGACAAATTTTAATTCGATGGATTGATATGGACACAAACAAAATCACAAATGGGAATGTTGAAATTTCACATCAAGTATTAAAAGAAAAAAAATGTTTCAAAAAAAAATTAATTTACTTAAGATTAACAATTTGATTCATGATTTAATTTAGTCTAAGGTTGAACGGTGTGGACAACGGGGATTGCGGGCCTATGTGAACGCCAACTAAGCCGCGTGATGGTAGGAAACACCGCTCCCTTTTTGTGATCGTGATCGGTGTGACGAACGCCGAGCCTTTTTTGCTTTTTTCCTCTTTGCTTTGTTTTCTTTCTTTCTTTCCCTTTTGTTTTTTTAGATTTTAATCCCAGATTTTTTCTTTTTTGTTTTTTTAGGAAATTTTTTTGTTTATAATTTAGGTTTTTTGGTTAATTAAATTTTTAAGAAAAATTAAGAAACAATAAAATCAATGAAATGTTTATTTAAATACATTTTTTAAATGTGTTAATTATTTAATTTTAAATTTAATCTTGATGACGAATAGTTTCTATCTAATTTTATCATTTTTCTAGTATGCAATTTTTTGCACTGTGTATCCATTTTCTAAAATTTAATATTAATAAAAATTTTATTTTATATTTTTAGTTTATTTAGTTTTAATTAAAATAAACATAAAAAAAGGAAGTGGATGGAATGGGTGGTGAGTAAAAAAGAATAAGAGGGGAGAAAAAAAAGAAAAGCTGACGCGATACCAAATTAGCGGGAATGAATAAAAGACATGGTGTGATCTACTCCTTATGATCATGATGTATTTCTTAATTCACTATGTGATTTGGTTAATTAAGACAATAAAACTTTCATATTTTTCAAAATACTGTCATGAACTTTCCTAAAATATTACCTTCGCTTACAATTAACTTTTTTTAAGGGAAAATATAATTAAATTTCAATTAATTAATAAAAAAACTTTCACTTAATTAAATTCACCTATATTTAATAATTAAGAAATGCTCTTTAACAAAGAAAATGTGCTTTTGCGATCATAAAAATTGCATATGAAATATAGATATTCTCACGAATTTTCATGTAGTTCTAATTAGATTTCTTTCCTTTTATAAGGCCCAATACATGTAACTATTCTATATATCAAGACCTATAAAATAGACATGAACTTAACAAAGAGGTCGTAAATATTCTCTTTCTTCATCGCTTTGCTATTTAAAGTAAATTAAGGAGAAGGAATTAAATTGGAGAAATGATCACTTACGCCGGTAGGACACGAGTTCGATTCCTGGCCTCTGCTCTTTACCATTAATTTGTGATTAAAGTTTAATTTACTTCATCTCAGTGATCGTCCAGCCGGTTCTAAAGGAGCCTCGGGAAAGACTCATCTTTTTTTTTGAGAAATGATCACTTACCATGAACTAAAGTAATGTATTAAAGTGTTAAACAAATGCTCAAATAAAATATTCACACACCTCATAATTTTAGCATTTGTGAAATTCAATAAATAAACTAAAATAGTCTCAAATAATTTTCACTTCTTTAGAGATTATTATACTCCCCCTTCCACAAATAAACTTTACATTGCGCGTTACGATATTTGACTGAAGATATTTTCAAATCACTTTATATGAAAAATGGTGTAGAATTGAAAAATAAAAACTACATATTAAAAAACTATACCAAAAGATCTACAAACTAGAGGTGACATGACTATATTATTTTATCAAATGGGTGACGAAAATAGGCCAACAAAGTGAATAAAGTTTGACCTTGTGAATAGTGAACGTAAAGTTTATCTGTGAACGAATGGAGTAATTAACTTTTTAAAGAAAAGTTTCAAAATAAAAGTAAAGAAAAGAATGTTGAATATTTAGTTCCTTTCTTTAGATCTAGATCACATATTCACATGAAACTTTGATCTAAGAACACACTACCTATTCTTGAACCGCATTGATTATACGATGATTAATGGCAGTTTAAATCGCCCATCTCTTCTTACTTTTAGATTTCCCGTTACAAAACAAAGAACCCAATCCGAAAAATGCGTGCTTTGATGTGATGTTCAAAACAGGGCTGATCCGAGCTCCGCCGTTGCCGGCAGATCTGCAGCTTCTGCTCTTCTTTAATGGAGTATTGCCGCCGTTAATGGTCTTCTTGAACAGAATTGAAGACACCGAGCGTGCTAAGAACGGCTCTGGCCTTGATCCCTGTTTCGGGAAATATTCCGGCGGCGGCGGCGCCCGAACAGGGGGCTTTGGGTTGGGAGCTGAGCCGGTGGATTTGCTTCTGGACAGGAATTGCAGCGACCGGACTAGGCCGTTTCCGGTGGATTTACTTCGCCGGAATTGCCAGAAATGCTTCACTGGCGTCCCGGGGTATTCCTCCTCCGGTTCGGGATTCGCAGACAAGAGCTCCTTCAGCATCTTCTTGCTCTGGTCGGCATTGGCGGGCGCCGGCGACGGCTGCCTGGGCGTGGCGGTGCCGGCGTTCTTGATTTGGACGGGGAGGATCTTGCCGTCGGCGAAAATCTCGTCCGCCGGCGATACTTCTTGGACGAATCCGGCGCGGAAGTCGAAGTCGAAGGTGGGTTCAAAGAGGAAAGGGTCGGCGGGGAGACATCGGCGGTGGAATTCGACGGGAACGGCGTCGGATTCCCGGAGATCGTGGGAGAAAGAGATCCTCGGACTGGAGAAGGAATTATCAGAGCATAAAACCACCGCCATGGCTTCTATAAGGAAATGGGGACAGAGAAGAAGAGTTTTTTATAGTGAGGATTTTGTGGCAATGAATGTCAGCTTTTTTATGCTCGCCTTAGAATGCACTTAAAGGAAAAATGGACCAAACTTAATTTTGACTATTGGAGTGGTTTCCTACATTTCCTAATCAAACTTTCCTTTGTTTGAGACAAAAAAAAGTTCATTAATGCATCAAAAGATGGACAATAATACGAGTAGCCATGAGGGGTAGACTCTTGTCTACCCCTCATGGCTCGCCTTATCACGTTGGAATTTAGCAAAAAAATGAGCTTCATCCTCGAGGATCCATTCTCAACACTGAAAAACGCATTTGTTGAGAATCGAACTCAAATCTTACATTCTTGACGCACCTTGCCTTTGCAAAGTGTACAACGCCCACCAGCTTACGTTGGAATTTAGTAAGAGTACGAGTAATTGGTTCGCCTCACAACATATAAAAGGGACAGAAACTCGAGTTCGTTGTGCAAAGGATGCATGCCGAAGGGAATAATTTGAGTTCAATTCTTAGGAAGTGCACAATCAGACAAAAAACAACAACAATATTCCAGTGATAATAATAGTCATCATAATTAATTACTCCCTCCGTCCTAAAATTAATTTCCCATTTTGACTTTCACAGTCAAAGTTTTTAAACTTTGACTGTATGTTACGGAAAAAGTATATTGAATTTGTATATAAATTTAGTATGAATAGATTCATTTTGAAACATAGTTTTGAAATATATTATTTTGATAATATACATTTATATAAAAATTGAGATATTAATGGTCAAAGTGATGCATTGGAGACCGTGAAAAGTCAAATGAAAGTTAATTTTAGGACGGAGGAAATATAATAATAATCATCATAATAATAACCTTTATTCTAGTAAAATTAACGTAGTAATTCATAAAGTCAATAACAACATAGCACTCCATCTTTTGGTTGAACATATATAGAATCGGAATGGATCTTTTGATCTGGGAACCCTGGTCATATAGTGACACGAGGTAAGAATCATAAACTTTATCAATAGAGCACCGTAGATATCTCAAATCATAATATAACATTGGTTTCAAAGCCAAAATATCCTCGCCGATATAGAATATATAAAATCTATTGTAAGAATTGTAACATATATTGATGGAAACCGCTTTTTCGGGGCGCCGACCCGATGAAATCGGTACCGGGTCGGCACCGCACCGAATAGCGAAATCCGGAAATTAAATAAATAAATAAATAAAGCGGAGAGAAAGTATTTATACGTGGAAACCCAAATCGGGAGAAAACCACGGGCCTTTTTAGGCGGTGCCATGCCAAAGGGGAGGAACTTTTATTAATCTCGGGGGAATTTATATATACATCACTGTAGGAGCTTGGAGCCATTAATAGAGCTCCATGCTAAGAGAAGGAGAAGAATGAAGAATAATAGTAGAACTAGTAGGAAATTGGCTTCTCTCTTCCCTCCTTCGTAGCATGCATTTAAAGAGGAGAAGGAAATAATTGATGGAGACAAGAGGAGACATTGTCCATGTGAAGCCCATGTGCAGCATGTGGTTTCCATGTGATAGTGTTCCACGGGTCCCGCCAAATGTCTCCACATCACTTCAAATATATTCTTATGTATATATCTCTGGTTCTGTCTTGAATAATTAACCTGATTTATATCTTGGACCATATAAAATTGGGCTTTCTTGTACTGTTCAAATAATATTGGATTAGGAAAAATCCCTAATCCATCACATGCCCCCCTAGTTTTGAGTCTGTCTCGGGGAACGAGACAGATTCAGAACTATATGACTCAGTGGGTTGCCTCATGGGATAAAACTTTTCTTGGAACCTCGACAAGAGGACCTTTTTTTTAGGGTCTCGTTACCTCGTGGGTAAGGATTTAACTTAGTGTCTCTCGAAAGAGGACTTTTCTCGGGGATTTGGTGCCTCTTGGAAGAAGACTTTTCTCAGGGATTTGTGACTCTTTAGAAGAAGACCTTCTCAGGACTTTGTGCCTCTTTGGAAGAGGACTTTCTTGGGACCTTCTGCCTCTTTAGAAGAAGACTTTCTCGGGACTTTGTGCCTCTTTAGAAGAGGACCTTCTCGGGACTTTGTGTCTTTTTGGAAGAGGACTTTCTCGGGACTTTGTGCCTCTTTAGAAGTGTACCTTCTCGGGACTTTGTGCCTCTTTGGAAGAGGATCTTCTCGGGACATTGTGCCTCTTTGGAAGAGGACTTTATCGGGACTTTGTGCCTCTTTAGAAGAGGACCTTCTCGGGACTTTGTGCCTCTTTGGAAGAGGACTTTCTCGGGACTTTGTGCCTCTTTGGAAGAGGACTTTCTCGGGACTTTGTGCCTCTTTNCCATGGGAAGGACATATGAGGATGGAGCGGTCCACAGGAAGCTAAATCTGTCCATGTGAAGGAGCCATGAAGATGGAGCGGTCCATTGGAGGCCAAATCTGTCCATGGGAAGGACATATGAGGATGGAGCGGTCCACAGGAAGCTAAATCTGTCCATGTGAAGGAGCCATGAAGATGGAGCGGTCCATTGGAGGCCAAATCTGTCCAATTTTGGGACCTCTAAAGCTGGAGCGGTCCTCTTGAGGATATATCCATCCATGGCTTGCTAAAGAGGACCGCGTAGAGGACTGATGGAGAGGACCACGGAGAGGACCGTCGGAAAGGACCGCGGAGAGGACCGCGGAGAGGACCGCTGGAGAGGACCGCGGAAAGGACCGCCGGAGAGGACCGCGGAAAGGACCGCCAGAGAGGACCACGGAGAGGGGCCCGCCACTTCCGTCCATGGTTCGGCGGAGGAAATCGGAGCTAGCTGGATCTCGTCAAAGATTAAGGCCCGCTTGTTGTCGATGAGGCTCACCGGAGCAAAGGGAGCTTGATGGGAGCTCGTCGTAAGGCTGCCGCTGCTATCCGTGGCTCGTCGGAGGAAGTGGGAGCTCGCTTCTTCCGGGCCAAGTTTCGCCGGTGTGGACAATTGATAGTGGTATGGCTCGCCGCTCGATACCGCCAGAGATGAAGCACGCTAGAGGGCTCGCCGGTCTGGGAGGATACTCACCGACCCTAATGGAAGGTACTGCCGGCGTCCCCCTATCGCGTGCTCGCTCCTCGCCGGAAAGATCCCTGCGGTCCGCGGCTCGGCGGCGGAGGGAGGATTTGCTGGAGCTAGAGGAGTCTCTTGTCTACTGGACCGCCATGCTGGCCGCGGTCGCCAAGGGCTCGTCGAAGCTTGTCGCCGGTTATGACTTAGCCAGATCTCCAAGCGATCACGGATCTAAGCTCACCGGAGAGAGGCTCTCCAAAGGCTCGCTGGAGAAGACCGGGATTAGAGGAGTTCACCGGAGGCTCGCGGCTGCTGTCCGTGGCTCGCCGGAGGAAGGAGGAGTTCCTCGAAGACCCGCGGCTGCCGTCCGTGGCTCGCCGGAATAAGAAGGAACTCGCCACAGATGAAATTCATTGGATTGGGGGCTCTCTGTCGTTGTCAATTACTCGCTTGAAGTTCACCAACTGGTTCACTGCTCCAGATCTGATGGCCTACGAAGAGGAGGAAGACCACCACTTTTCCTATTTCTTTCCTCCTTTTTTTGACCCGCTGTCTCCCATTTTTAATTTATTTCTCTCTTTTTTTTTACTTTCTCTCTTTCACTTTTTTTTTCTCCATTACAGCCTGGAGCACAAAATTTTTTTGTGGCCGGTCCCACGGTCGGCGCCAGTGATGGAAACCGCTTTTTCGGGGCGCCGACCCGATGAAATCGGTACCGGGTCGGCACCGCACCGAATAGCGAAATCCGGAAATTAAATAAATAAATAAAGCGGAGAGAAAGTATTTATACGTGGAAACCCAAATCGGGAGAAAACCACGGGCCTTTTTAGGCGGTGTCATGCCAAAGGGGAGGAACTTTTATTAATCTCGGGAGAATTTACATATACATCACTGTAGGAGCTTGGAGCCATTAATGGAGCTCCATGCTAAGAGAAGGAGAAGAATGAAGAATAATAGTAGAACTAGTAGGAAATTGGCTTCTCTCTTCCCTCCTTCGTAGCATGCATTTAAAGAGGAGAAGGAAATAATTGATGGAGACAAGAGGAGACATTATCCATGTGAAGCCCATGTGCAGCATGTGGTTTCCATGTGATAGTGTTCCACGGGTCCCGCCAAATGTCTCCACATCACTTCAAATATATTCTTATGTCCATATATCTCTGGTTCTGTCTTGAATAATTAACCTGATTTATGTCTTGGACCATATAAAATTGGACTTTCTTGTACTGTTCAAATAATATTGGATTAGGAAAAATCTCTAGTCCATCATATATTAAACTTTTTTGGGTACATAAATTAGGGGTGGCTTTAAGGGTGGGCAGGGTGGCCAGCTCGCCAGGGCCAACGTTTGGAGAGGGCCCCACATGTGTGTGAATTAATGGGGATGTGATCAATATATTTACTTCCAAATATGCTAGGAGATTTTACGTACGAATCCTTGATTAACTATTATGATATGTAATTATAAATTTATAAGACTATAAACTTGACATTTTGTTACTCTTATTACTATAGTATTAATTATCATTAAAATATTTATTGATTGACCCTATTGGGAAAATAAAGAGATCGTTTTCAAACATCTAAATTTAAACAAAGAGGATGTTTGATTTTAGGAAAAATTACCCAAAATAATTCCAACTTTACCCGGTTTTTCAAAAATAATCTCACCTTTCATTGTGATGCATAATAATCCCAACTTTACTGAAATTTGCCAATTTTGGGTCGCCGTTAAGTGTCTAACGAAGGGTTAACGGAAATGCCCGTTTTGGGCAACAAAATGAAAGTTGAGATTATTTTTGATGAATTTTTGTTTTTTAATTTTTTTAAAATTTTTTATTTAAATTTTTTGAATTACTTTCTACCTCCATCATCATTTCTTTTTCTTTTTTAAAAATTAGTCTTAGTTTAAAAAATAAAAATAATAGATATAAAAAATGAAAAAATGAGAAATGTAACTAAAATGATAAAAAAATAATAAAATAAATAAGGTAATCAATGGAATCTAACTTGAAATTGGTAAAAGTAAAATAAAAATATATGGGTGAGTTTTAATATTTTACGTATTATACAAAGTATTAACATATCACTACTTATTTTTTAGAAAAAATTATCTACAATAATTCCAATTTTACCGGACGGCTTGTTCTTTTAAAAAATAAGTAGTATATTAAGACTTCGTATAGTGTGTAAAATGTTAAAACCCACCACTCCGTATATATTTATTTTATTTCTTACCAGTTTCTGTTTAATTTCTATTGATTACATTATTTATTTGATTAATTTTGTATTGTTTTAGTTATTTTTCTCATTTTCATTATTTTTTATCTATTTTTTCTAAGATAAGAATAATCTTTAAAAAATAAAAAGAAATGGAGGTTAAAAGTAATTCAAAAAATTTAAATAAAAAATTTCAAAAAAAAATTAAAAAACAAAAATTCATCAAAAATAATCCCAACTTTCATTTTGTTGTCTAAAACGGGCATTTCCGTTAACTTTCCGTTAGAAATTTAACGGCGACCCAAAATTGGCAAATTTCAATAAAGTTAGGATTATTATGCATCACAGTGAAAGGTGATATTATTTTTGAAAAACAAGGTAAAGTTGTGATTATTTTGGATAATTTTTCCTTGATTTAGAACAGAGAAGATATTCTTGATTTAGAACAGAGAAAAACAACTATAATTTCAATAAGATATTCTTCAAATTAAAGTTGATTTAGAACAGAGAAGATACTTGATTTTTCAAGTGTTTTTAACACAAATCAGATATGTGTGAAGTGACCCCCCAAAATGGAATTACACTTAATAACAGTCATTCATTTTAGAAGAATCGCATTGCAATTGATTATATTTCTCTTAATCACTAAAAATTAAATTATTAAATATAAGGTAAATTTTATCGTGGACTTAAAGTTCACGATGATGCACTTATATATAAGCCTGATAAGTGACAACTTGACAAGTAAGACAAATTCTTGCATGAACTTAAGATCCATGATTTCTATGGTAGACTCTCATATATGCTAGATAAATACTCCCTCAGAGTTCCATATAGTAAGTCACACTCCAAAAACCGTACAAAATCTCTTCATTTTTAAAATTATTTTAATTGCAAATGACTATAGAAATAAAAATTCTAAATTACACCATATAATTAAAAACATAAAAAATTCTATAAACAATAGGTGAGAAGAATATTTTATTTTATTAAACCATTACTAAAAATATACAAACAAACTTAAGTTATTGAGAACCTGTAATAGTTACAGTGGTGTCTATTTTGGAACAAAAACAGTATTTCGTATCACTTAAGGTCTATGTGAACTTTAGGTCCACGATAGAAACACTCGATAAGTAAATATTTACTGTTGCGGCAAACATATTTATTTTTAGGCTATTTTTTAAACAAAGAAAAATTATTGTTTATCAGGAAGTTTGCCAAATTTTAAAGACTGCAGGTAAAATATAGGAGTACTTGACTACTTTAGTGAGTGTAAGTGATTAAGAAAATTAATTACTCGGTATGAAATAAATATTTTTGTGTTGGCCTCTTTAGGTTGTTGATATGTATGTGTGCTTTATCAAAGTAAAAGTTATGTAGTATTGAATGTGCGCTCTATTATTCTAGTTTTCTTTTGGTTTGGGACTTGGGAGTGATTAGGGGAAAAAAAATAAACACATCCCGGATTAGTTGGATAAATATTACTCCCGGGTATAAGAAAAAAATTAAGAAAAAAATTCTTATAAAAAATTTGACTCAACTATATTTAAGGTGCAATTGTAGGTCGAAGATAAGTTTATTTCTAGCACGTTCTTTCATGTGCATACGAGATTTGGTCTCGTTCGAGCCTTACCCGCGAGAATGTATTTTTTTTCATTGAATAGTAGTGAAATTTAAATTCGTGACTTTTTGGTCTGTAAGGTTTTAATATCATGTCAAGACTAGATCTAACGGCAAGTTCAAGTTGTGATTCTAAGCACACTAAATGTTTTATACGAACATTAAATTGTTTCGTTTCTAGTTCGCTTTGGGTCATATCGGATTTCAATCATAGATCGGGTATTAATTTTTTCGAGTTTATTAGTTTAAGGTTCAATTTTGGGTAATTCTACTCAAGCAATCGATCGACTACGTTCCCAATCTGTTTTGTCAGGTCTACGACTACCATCCCCGATCGGCTAGACACTTTATTCGGGGGGATTTGACTTGAGATAAAAAAAATGGTTTGATATATAAATATAGAGATTTACTTATGGTACTTAAATACATGGACTCTAGAGGATTAATATATCGGGTTAAACTTGAAACTTGTGACAAAAGTATTGGAGGGTTTTGTTGTGAAGTAATTGGAATACTGTGTGTGGATGTGAAGAAATGTACAAAGGAGATGAAGACAAGAATTGGATCTAAGGACTAAAGAGTAGTTTTTAAATAAAAAAAGAAGATAATGATAGAGAGTCCCTCTTTAATTTAACTAAGATTCACCCCATTTTTCTTATTAGCTAGCTGCCTGTTTTCACTGCTTTTGTTTTAATTTGGTCCTAACTTTGGATACATTTTCACCTTTTGTTGGCGTGAAAAACTGTGTTTCAGACAAGGTGACCTGAATTCAATGGTTTTGATAGGTTACTTACCGTAGTTTGTTTTGGACGGTTCTCAATAATTTTTGTAGTCATAAATCCTATTTTATTAATTCTTTATTTATCGAAGATTTTTTTTTATTATAGCATACTATTGTAAATCAATTTAAATTTTCAAAATCATACAATTGAATTGAATTTTTGTTTGGTATAATTAATTGAATTGAAATTAGATTTTATGAAATTGAAATAGATTTTTGTTTGGTATAATTAAAAAAAATTGGTATGAAAATGTATTACACCAATATAGTTCCAAATCTTTTGTTTGGTAATATGTACAAAATTGTATTTAGAATTGACATGAAGTTGTATTATGATTCCAAATCTGCTACATCCACACATTTTTGTGTGTGCTACCAAATCCTCATGTTTTTGTAAGTGATATGTAAATTTTGAAATTAGAATTATATTCTAAATCTATATAATTTTATGCTTTCATAAAGCAGAATTATAATTAAAGTCTTTGAATCTAATTCCTTGACCAGAATTCTGTATACCAAACAAAATCTTAGGGTCCGTTTGTTATACAAAATTGATGGAATTGGAATTGAATTAGAATTGAAATTCCATGGGATTCAATTCCATAGAATTGAATTCTGCCAATTCCAATTCATTTTTGCACTATCAATTCCAAATCCACATAATTTTTGTGCTACCACATATCAGAATTGGAATTGAAATCCCCAATTCCAATTCCATAATTTGAATTTCGTGTATCAAACGGGGCCTAAAATTAGTTGTCTAATAGTTTTCTAATACGGAGTATATTAATTATACATGATCTAACATCATTATACGTAATTTCCTTCTACAATATGATCTAACATCATTATACGTTTTGGTGTACATAGTATACATATTCTAAATATTTTTGGTGTAAATACTCTCATATCGAGCATTAGCATCTTAGCATAGTATATACATAATGCTGGTTTGGAAACGATATTTTTAGTTGGCGTTGTAGACTATTTGTGAGTGACACAAATTGCAAATTAACTTTAAAATCGTTATTAAAAAATGTTGCAGTTAAATAACTTTTTTAAAATGCTAAGTTCATAGGCATAAGTTATCACTAAGAGGCCACATATTCTGAATTTGATATACATGGTTATTATGTATTCACGGAATTTAGGTTAAAATTGAGAGAGAGTGTGTGTGTAGAATAGAATTTGAACATCTCTCTAATTGGTGAGTCTCTATATCGTCTTATACCCGAATACACTCTGTTTTTTGTACATCCGTGCAAATAATCATTTTGGATTTTGTTTACTCGATATATATTCAAAACACGTACGTCACAAGATATATGTATGTTCATTTGAAAACTACATAGTATGCATACGTATATACATATGTATATTTACAAGTAACATAATACCCATTTCAACTAAAATAATCGTAGATGTGCAACTAAAATATAGAGATGCATCCTCTGTCCCAAAAAAAATGTTCTCGTTTTAAATTCTAGGAAAAAATAAGGGAAATATTTTTCTGTTGACTTTCCAAAAATATCCTTGATGTGATGAGTAAAAAGTAAGATGTGATGTACAATTATTAATAAAAAGTATGATGTGATAAACATGTTAAAAATTAGTATAGGTAAAGTGACTTTTTAATAGATATGAAAAATGATTTTATGAGACTAGTAAAAAAACATTGGGGGTGGGAGTTTTGGGAGGGACTGAGTATAAGAAATGAGTGAGTATTCTTTGACCATACATCCAGTTGTACCAGGAATCTAGCCCCAACTAAAACATAGTTTTTCCCTCACGGCCGACAGTCGAAGCCACTCGAACAGGAAAGGAATTACAACACTTGTCCATTCTCCGTGCCAACGAGGAGTTCTACGAGAAATCTAAAGTCCACAAGACTTTCATAAATAAATTTTTATTTTTTTATTTTTTTAAAAAAAAGCCCATTTTTTTTATTTTAATATTAGGCCTATTAAGCAAAAAAGAATAATTTGATGTGTAAAAAGGGCATAGTAAAAGAGTTATGATTTCATATTTGAAAAATGATAAAAGTATTAAAAAAATACGCTACCAAAATATACGGAGTACTCGGTAGCAATTGGAATGTGTATATTCCCTTCGTTCGGAAATGATCTTCTCATTTGACAATTCACGGTCTTCAATGTAACCATTTGACCATTAATATCTGCATTTATATATGGATATATTTTATGAAAATTTAATATTTCAAAACTACATTCAATAAAGAAACTATTGGTATTATATTGTATTTTTTCCATGTATAGAAGTTAACGTTTATAAACTTTGATCAAGAAAAAATAAATTTAAAAATTATTTTCGGGCGGAGGGAGTATTTCTTAATTTTTGTAAGCATGACCCTTCCCCTGCTTCAAAAATAGGGATGTGTTTTTGGTGTTATATGATACAAATAAAATACTAAAGAGCCCATTTGATGTATTAGGTTGTAATTTTTTATGTTGGGCCAATGAAATAGGGACATAATAGAGCTAAATAGTAAATACCATCATGTTTGGGCTATTACTCATGCTTTTATGGATTACCAATACTTCAAGATTAGATCTCTCTTCAAATTTAGATCCCATACTTGAGAGAAATGAAGTTATAGGACATACAAAGTGTAATTGCAGGCCCATACTTGGGTCCTAAACTATGGGATATGTCAACNAGGGTTGAAAAAACATGTGATAAATATTTAATTTAATAAAATGTGTGGTAACAAAATTATAAATAAATGCAGTTTGTTTCTATATTTATGGCAGAGTTGAGTACACAAAAATAAGGCAAGAAACAACATTGTCCTTTTGGCAAAAGCTTAAAGCTCATCATGGCAACACACAAGAACACAACAAACAGGCAGGTATTATGACCAAGAGAAATGCTTCCACATAAAAATAAACAGTCATGAATAAAAGATAACTCAGAATGGTAATTAATTATGGAGGCAAAAAAACAGAAACCCAAAACTCAAAAGTGCAAAACAAAGATGGAACTTTTCAGTTTGGAACAAAATTTGAACTGAACCTGCAAAAATGGTTCCTTTTTTTTCATTTCACTCTTCCCAAGACAGTATGAATGTATATATACCATATTAGAAAAGGAAATAAAGATTAGTTTGGCACAAAATTTCAAGAAATGAAACCTTGATGATGAACAAAAACTCAGCAGAAATTACACTCAATCTGTCATCAAAATATATAAATTTTCACCAATCTTTCGGATTACATTGAGTTTATTTCCGTGATCGCGGAAAGAAAGGCAAAGAAAGAATCATGAATGGAGCTTAAATCATAGGCAAACAAAGATTAGCAATTTCTAAAGCAAATCAGCAGATTAAATCTCACTATATATTAGTTGGGTTGTTAAAGTTCTTCCATTTCCTGTCACCAAATCAACCTTCAAGAAAAATCAAAAGAAAATAAATGGTTTTTCTTACTTATAACCCTCAGAAATCACATTGCCAGAAAATTAAATCAAGCAGAAAATGGCTTAAGAGAATGAAGAACCATTCTTTACCTGTTCATATTCTATTGATCATCAGAGACTTTGTATAAATCAGCTGTGATTTCCTTCAGCCATAATCCCGGAAAGAGAGTCTGCAAAGAAAAGAATCAAACTGTAAAATTTCAGAAATTTATTTCAAGATTCAATTCACATCCGAATTTCAGAAATTTATTTCAAGACTTTGTATAAATCAGCTGTGATTTCTATTTAAAGATTATGTTTTTTAACTCACATCCAAATTTTTCTGGACCAATTTAGATCGTTTCTTGGGGCGGCGGGCGGGTCTGTGACCGACCATGGCCATGAAATCTTCCTCGATCTCTGGGCGAGCTAGCGGAACAGATAGTTTCACTCGCTCGCGCTTCTCGCCGACCGGAAGTGCCGGAGATGCGTTTTCGCCGCCTCTCAATGGGGAAACGTTCTGGGTCGATCCGACGGTGGTCCGGCGAGTCCGCAAGCTCCAGGGCTTATTCGGGTGAGCGGCGGCGGCGGCGGGTTTCTCTTCCTCTTCCTCCTTCAAACCCTCCCGGAAAATCGCGTCTTTCATCTGATCCGCAGCCGTCTGGAGATCGAACATTAACTTCTCCCTCACGGAGGCGATCCCGGCGTCGACGCAGGACCCGAATTTCCGGCCGGTCACGACCGTCTCCCTCTTGGGCCTACCCGGAGCGACCCGGCCCCAGTCCGATAACCCATTTGGTCGCCGGTGAACGGAGGCGATATCTCCGTTCGAATCCAGCTTAACGCATCGCAAGAACTTCCGATTCCCCCACTTCAATTCACACGGAAGCGTGAAATTGTGCAGCGGCCGTGATCTCTCCGGGCCCATCGCCATCGAAGTCCCTCTCAGCTCTCTCTCTCTCTCTCTCGCGGAAGAACGGAGAAAATTAAGGGTTTTCTTGATTTTCTTTTTTGATTTCTCTCCAAAATCCAAATGGGTTGTGAAATCGCCGGGAACAAGTTTATATGAAAGAGGTAGAGGGCGGTTTTAACGTTCGGCTTGGGACAACAATTGATGCTAATGTGCGCCGTCTCCTTTGGAAATGTCTAAGGTGTTTTATGGTAGACCTAAGTATGAGTAAAATTAGGGGTGGGCACGGACCAGTCCGAACCCAGATTTTTATAAACCGGACTCGACTTGTTTTTATTAAAATGATTCGGGCCGGAATGGGTTTTCAAAATTTTAAAACTGAAACCGGACCTAACCCAGCTTGTTTGAAACGGGCCGATTCCACGGGTCAACGGGTCTGAACCTATCACGATACTAATATTAAAAAAATAAAGGGATAATAAATTAATTTAAATCATCCAACACAAAAAAAGAAGCGTAAATGAAAATAAAACAATGACAAAGAGGGGCATGAGAAAAAAATGTACACCCCATGATTATCCAACAACAACAAAAAAAGAAGACAACCACATTTTGGCATTATAATGTCAATGGGTTCCAAAAAGAATAAAATTCACAATCTTCATGGGTTCCAACTCTCTGACTACGAAGAATTTTCTCACTTTTCTGTCTGCGATTGGAAGGACCAAAAGATTGAAGGGCTTAGGCGGGTATATTTCCGTATATCCGTATATTTACTAAAAATAATATCAAAAATAATATTGAGATTTAAAAAAATGGTCCGCTCCGGGTCCTAAACAATTTCAAAATAGGGAACCGGACCGACCCTAAAATCTATAAGGACCGGACCGACACGGACCGTTTGAAATTTTTGAAAAGAGGACCCGACCCTAATCCGGACTGAACCTGGCGGTCCGGTTCCGACTCGCGGTTCCTGGACCCGATTGCCCACCCCTAAGTAAAATAAGTATTTTTTTATTATTTTAAGTATTATTTTTTTAATAAAAAAAGAATATTTTTTATGTGAGGAGGTGTACAAAAATCATATACAACCAAGGTGTATCATAGAAGCACTCATTGCGTAAATGTCAAAATAAATGTATTCTGAGTTCGATTCTAGGTAACTGCGTTGATAGAAACTAAATGTAGACTCTGAAGTCTAATTTGTCTTTGTGATTGTTCAGCCAATTGCCCGATTCTGAAGAACCCTCATGGATGGAGCCAACCTTTTTGTTAAGGGTATTTGGAATTTTGGATAGAATAGTGTGCATAGGAAGAAAGAATACAAAGAAATATTCTCTTCGTTTCAAAAACATACTCATATTCTCCTAATCAAATTTTGATCACTTTTTAATCTATCTTAATTATGGAGTGCTCATTTAATAAAAAATAGGGAGTAAATAGTATTATCTTGTACTCCTTTGTACAATTTTGACATTTTATAAATAATCAAGATCCACTTTTAATCTATATTTGATAAAAAATATTTCCCCGTCCCATTAAACATTTTCACTTTGAACAAAATGTAAAGTTTAAGAAATGTATGTGTAATGGTGTTACTTTCCAATTTTGGCCATGTTTGGTAAATGGCAGTTCACCCAGCATTTGGCATCTTTGACCATAAACGACGGGTTGGACTAGTCAAATCGTCAAATTAATTGTTTGGATAATGGCTTTTGGAATTGGCATTTAGAATCGAACAGCCAAAAATTGAAATGCCAATCTTAGTAGCATTTCATTTAGAATCGTAAAGGTAGATATTAGATCGGAGAAGATGAAGTGGGAGGAGAGGAAGAGACGAGGAGAGGCAGAGGTGAGGAGACGAAGATGTGAGGAGACGAGAGATCTAGATTAGATCTAGATAGGATGTGGGTGGCTAGCAGAAAAGAAAAGGGGAGGGAGGGTAAAAGAGTCAATTCATTGTAAAGTTATTGACTTTGTAATTCTTTTTGGGACAAAAATGTGAGGGAATATTGTAATCTATTTCGAAACGGAGGGAGTATTAAAAAGATGTTACTCAGTATTCTTTTGTTTCCGACATACCGGACCATAATGATACCAAACTATTTATAGTGTTTAAACGCGATTGGTTTTTTCCATCCCAACTGAAACCGATATGAAACGGGACGAGACCGTGATACAAATATTTAAAGCCGATTATCACAGACCGAACTGTTGAAAGCTTTTTACGAAGTATCTCAAATACTTATTTGTCTACTTCATATTACTATAGATGGAGTACTTCATATTATGTCATTATTTTTTAATATTCTTTCATTATTATTGTTGTTGTTATATTTATTACTACTATAGTACTATGAGCATTAAGTTTTTGGAGTTTTTAATAGTTTGATATTGTATAAATTGAAAAAAGTTCAATTTTTTTTAATTTGGACTCTTTATTTTTTATTCTTTATGTTTATGGTTCATTTAAATTCAAAATCGATACTTTTTTTTAACAAAATTGTGTTTTTTATACAAAATTATGCATTTATTCTAATACTTTTTGAGTAATGAATGCATAATTTTTGACATGGTTTGAGCATGAGTATTGTATTGTACCGTTCTGTTTCAAAATGGAATAATGATTTTGTTTTCATCCCCTACCGATACATAGTCACATACTCGTTTAAATAAAAGAAGTTTCTGATAGGTTCGGGTAATATCAAGGGTCGTGCCCGCCCCTATTAGGTACACATTCAATCTCATATTGTATGTTTGTTTCTCTCTCCCATTCTCTATTGCGTGTATTTAAAAAAATTAAAATAAAAATAAAAATAGAAGGAATGATGCTTTTGATTTTTGAAATGGTTTCCTTTCAAAACAGAAACTAGCGTACGTGTAGAAGAAAAGATATAGAAATGGAACTGGAGAAGCAATGGTTTTGGTGGTGTTTTGACTTTTGAAAAACACAAATTCTTACGTGGAACTAAGATTCATATTTATTTTATAGACTTTAGTACATTTAATGAAAGTTGTACGGAGTTTAACTTAGGCTAAGAACGATCTAAATATTTTTTCCTACAACCGGATTGCCTGAACCGTGCATATTTTTATTAAAAAAACCTAGACTAAGTCTTACTTAGTGTCATAAAATTATTTTTCCAGTTAATTTAATGACAAAATTTATTCACTTTATTCATGTATTTTTATTAGCAACTTTCTAAAATAATATAATTATGTCATCTCTAATTTTATATAACTATTGATAATTTGATATCGTTTTAATTATATAAGTTTTATTTTTAAATTCTAATTAAATTGATAATAATAAAACAAATTGAGTTGAAAACAACTACGGTGAAATTAGTTTTAGGATGGAGACATTATTCATTATCTGGTATTTCGAGAATTTCAATGAGCTTGTGCCAATGAAGAGAAAAAAATAAGTTATTTAGGTTTTAGAAAAAATGTTATGTTAGGATAATTATAATCAAGTCAGGAATAAATAAATTCTTCAATTTTTGTCAACCGAAAATTTAAATATATGATAATATTCATAGCATAAAATAATAAAAGTAAAATTATATGTATTTAGTACAAATGTCATACTAATATGAGTATAGATTAAAATCCAACTAGATCAGGATTTGGACCGGAAGTAACCAAAACCTGAACAAGTCTAGATTTGATATGGGAGATGATAAACTTGACGAGTCTTTGGCACAATGTCTTCAAGTGTGTGCTCTATTATATTTTCTTTTTTTGAATAATACTAAGATGCCACCATGTATATGGGTGCACCCATAATAGCATTCAAGTGGTGGCACCCTAGCCTGACCCTTTTTTTTCACATCAAAAATATTTTCCAAACTTTTAGTCATTACAAACGTCCTTTGGCTCAATTAGGCATTCAGGCAACAACATTTGCTACCTCCATTCATGATCAAATCTGCATGTAGTTCAACGTTGGCATAAAGCCATAAAGGTGTTACAAAAGAAAGATCTCGAGTTCAAAATCTAGTGACTGGAAGTACTAGACTTGGGACCCCATTATTCCTCAATTTTCCAATCCTCGAAGTTTTATTCCTAAGATAAAACAAAACATTAGATACTTCATTCGTCTCAAAATAAAATTTACAATTTGGTTCACATGATTAAACTTAATTCTCTTTTTAATTTCATTAATTTCAGTTATTAATTTAATAAAATAATCTAGCCACACCATTCTTTACTTTCTAAACCTTTTAATTTCATTCTTAATTCCGCATCAGTCATTTTTTGGGCTTCTATGCTTGAGACCTTGAGTTGTGATGTTATACATAAATCATAAATTGACAATTTTATTTGGAGACGAATGAAACAATCATACAATTAACCTTGATGCACATCACTTTTGACATGAAATCCTATTACAATATTGGTAACAATAGTTGTGTGATTTTTTTTTATGTAAAAAGTATTATCTGTGTTCATACATAAAGACCATAATCATCTATGCTCATACATAATTATTCTCTGTATATATACCAATCATCTCTCTCATTGAATTCTAGCATTTTTTATAAATAAAACTCCTATCATAAGAGAATTATGGGTACTCTTGAACAAGCACAACCAATTGGAATAAGCAAAAAAGAAAAAAAAAATACACAACACTAATTGTTTGGGAAAATTAAAATATTGATTTGCACTATGATCTGAACAATTGTCTTCAAGCTAACAATGGCTTCCATATCTTTCATTGCTACTGATCATCAGGAACTTTGTACATGTCTGCACTAATTTCTGCCAACCACAATCCAGGAAATAGGCTCTGCAATTTAATCCAAAGAAGAAGAAGAAAAACAGTTAATTTCAAGAAAAAGATAGAAACCCAGTATTGAATCATGTAAATGTTGAAGGAAAAAAAAGAATTGAATTAAGGGCTTACATCCAGATTTTTCTGAACAGTTTTGGATCGTTTCTTGGGCCGGCGGGCGGGTTTGTTGCCGGTAATGGCCGCAAAATCTTCCTCGATCTCTTGCCGGGTGAGTGCGACGGAGAATTTAGCCCTGCCCCGCTTCTGCCCGGCGGCGGAGCCGCTTGGAATTCTTGGAGATCTGTTTTCGGTCTTCATTGGCGAACCATTCGGGCGCGGCGGCGGCCGTACATCAGATTTCGAACCCGGGTTGGATTCGCCGGAAGCGGCGGTGCCCGTGAATTGCTTACTAGAGGACCGGCGCGCACGCAAATTCCACGGCAAGGCGGTTTCCGATGGACCCGCGGGGGGATTAGTGTTCCGGCATATCGCCGGAGCCGGGGGCTCACCCTCGCCCTTATCCGCCGCCAGCGGCGGCTCTTCGTTTTCTCCCAGACCCATCATGAAAATCGCGTCCTTCATCTTAGTCGCCGCCGCTTGGAGATCAAACAGAAGTTTCTCCCTCACGGCTGCGATCCCGTCTTCCACTTCCGACCGAAACTTCCGGCCGCCCTCCGTCAGACGATTCTGGAGAACACCCGTGCGCGGATCCCGCCAATCTGATCCAAGGCTCTGCCGCCCTATCGCAGCCTCTGACCTTCGCGTCCCGAGCAGCTTCTCCGACGACGACCGCCCATTAGACCGCCGGTGAACGGCGGCGATTTCTTCGTTCGAGAACTTCCGCTTTCCCCACTCCAAACCACACGGAAGCGTGAAATTGTGCAGTGGCTGCTGCAACGGCGGCGGCTTCGATCTATGCGTACCCATTGCCATATCTCTCTCTTTCTTTCTATGGAGACTCGGAGTTCGCCGGAACCTCGAGTTTATATTGGGGGTGTGATGGGGCTAAAATGCGCCGTTCTATGGTTCATGGCTCATGACCATGTGGGCTTTTAGCAAACGACGTCGCTCGAATACTAAAAGTTCTTTTTCCTAACCAAACTAGGACCGAAAGTATTGAATTGATACGGAAAATTATCTACAAGTAAATTACTCCCAAATACTTTCTTAATATAATAGTATAAATGTGATTATCCTGTATGAAAGGTCACATATATGAAAAATGCCAGGGTGCACCAAAGTTGTACCCCATATGTTCCTCACTCCCTCCTTGTCCAGTTGTCCACTAAAAAAGGCAAAAAAATTTAAAAAAAAATAAGTAAATAAAAATATATAGTGGAGAAAGCGTGGTGTACAAATAAAAATAGCATTGCTCCACATATACCTATCTCTCTGAGAAAATAAATTTGAAGAAATACTACTCCGTATTTTGTAATTGATTTCAAATAAAATTTTCTAAATAGAAGTAAAATATATGTCATAAATACTCAAAATAAGAGTTCAAACATAAACTCCTCCAAATAGAGTAATTAATTAAGTAATAAAGAAAACCTCATAAATAATAATAAATCTCTAATTAACCTCATCTCTTCTGCTCTCTCTCCTCACGATCACCCCACCATGCCTCTCTCTCTTCACTATCTCTCATTTTTTGTCATCGCCCTCACCATTTTGAAGTGTTGCCTCCATAGAATCAGCCCCAAGTGCAGTACATCACCGCCGCCCCACTCCTTGAGTGCCGCCGCACCAGCTCTCCCTTTGCAGATCTATCACGAAGCATCCATGTAGATCTGTCATGGAGTGCCGCCTCTTTCCATCCCCCTTGCAGATCTATCGCACCGCTTATAACCATTAAAGATGAGATTGCCGCCATTCACGATGACTATGATTTTGATTTTAATTAGCTTCCAAATGTTCTATAATTGAGACTGCATCGTAGAAGTAAGAAATACTTCCAACTAATTGCATTCACCTTTTTTTTTATGAAAAATTGCATCTTCATTAGGCATTGATTTTGGTTTGGTTTTTTCTTTCTATTTTTGTATTTGAGTGTTTTTCTTTTAATTTTTTTGTTTGATTGTTTTTCTATTAGCTGTGTTTAATGTTTCTCCAAATTTTAGCAAAATTTGGTGATAGTGATAAGAAACTTGACATTGTATGTGGGCAATCATGACATTTCACTTTCTTTTTTACATTTTATATTGACATGTTTCGAATTACACTATAACATGTTTGGCATTATGCAATGACATGTTTGTCAGTATGCATTATCGTCTTTGACATTGTGGCTTTGGTTGGCATCGTATTAAAAGATTTTCTCATGGCAGTGACACCATGGGACTCTGGTGGCAACAATGGCAGTCTTGATCCCAACTTTGGTAGTAAATTGCGACATTGACAGCAACAAATGGGGGCGATGGAGAGCGGCAAATCATGGTGGCAATGAGAGCAATATTGTCTACCGTGGCGGTGTTAGCGGCAGCAACAGTGTAGATGGTGGCCACATTTAATAGCGATGGCAGCAGGAGTTGTGGCAATGGAATGGCGGCGACGGCGGCAGGGGTGGCGACAGTGACATGTGCGGCAGGGGCTGCAGCTAATTTAAGATTTTTTTAATTTATAAAATGTATTTAATTTCATATTTATTTTACTTCTATTTTGTTCCTTAACTCTTAGCCATTAGATTAATTAAGTTAATTACTCCAATTTAGAGAAGTTTATGTTTCAACACTTATTTTAAGAATATGACATATGTTTTACTACTACTTTGATCCTTTTTCCTCGATTTAATGTTGGAAATTTTAGAAATAATTTCGGATTATTTTTATTATTTTCGCACTGTAATATTCAACATTTAATAGTCCTAGAAACCATACTAACAAAATAAACACAATAACACAAACATAGACCGAAAAAATCATATATATCTCAACATTAGTATTGAAACAATAGTCACAATAGGTCCTCTTTCCGCAAAGGCATCAAAAGTTACTAGCCTTAGCCAAAAACAATGACGAGAAGAAGCTACAAGAGGTCCTCTTTTCCAGAATGGTCATGAAGCTCCGCCCTTTAAATCTATTTTCTCAGCCATATCACTTTTTGATTCCCTTTTAACTTATATCAAAATTTTACGCGCGATGAGTTTAAAGCCCCTAAACTTCAAACCTTTTTTTTAAATTTTTAATACTACACAAACTAAATTAATAAGATTTCATTAATTAATTAATATAAACGAAAATAATTCATTAAAAAAGTTTATATTCAATAAAAATAACATTAAAGTTTTTAAAAAAACTAACATTATATTTAGCCTTGATCTCAAAGAAACGGAGGAAGCGAAAGGATTCATGATAAAAATAAGAGAAAAACTTGAAGAATTCTTTTTTAAGAAAGAAGAGAGAGATTTGTATTTTATTTTTAAAAAGAGTGAATTTATAGAGGAGGAATATTTTTTAAATCTGTAATAGCATTATAGCCGTTGGAAGCGAGAGGGGCCGCTGCATTCAGCTTTTAAACGTTTAACGCATTAGCATTAACGCCCCAATGAAGCCCCAGGGGACGGTGTTTAATTAACGCCCATGGCATAAAAATTAGGAAAAACACCTTTGGATATTAAGACCATTTCCAATGCTCTTATGCCTACAGGGTAAAAGGAATTAAAACATACCTTTAAGCATACGAAAACAATTGGATAATAATCAGTTTTATTAAACTTAAGAAGATATATATAAAAAATATATAGGCATTCCTAGCTAAAGTAGGAGTAATAATTAAATAAAGTAGAAAAGGTAAATATGATAACAACATAATATATGGAAAGCTAAAATAATTTAGTAATTTTCTGTTACTTTTATTAACCCTTTGGACAGATAATTGGTGAAAGCGATTTCATGGGATGACGAGTAGAGGGAGAAAGGAAACTTTTGATTACATGATGAATGAGTTTGAGAGTGTGTTGGCAAAGGTTTTCTCTGACGAGGCATTCTGAGATTAGATTGAGGACGATAGGTTACTTCTTCTCTTTTTTGGGATGATTTATGTGCTCCACTATTGCTTCTCATTCTTTCCACATGTGAAAGAAAGACAAGCAAATGCAATTTTCCAATTGTTTGATCACACACATGTTTCTAGAGATAGAGGTATTGATAAGAGACAGCTGCTATCGGGCACACTCGTCAAAATTTTTATATTGTCAAAGTTTTTATATAGTCTATGTTTTGGTTCAAAAAATTATTTTGTATTTTTGTATTATAATTATTCTTACACAATCATTTTTGAAAAACTATAGTACACATAAGTTTCACTCTAATAACTACATATTAATTCTCATATAAGACTATAGAGTATTTTACTCTTATTATTAATTTTAACTTTCAAATTAAATACTTCAAAGTGTAAATATATTATTCATTTCAATAATTTCATTACAAACTTAAAAACATTTTATATTTAAACTAGTCGATCTACTTGTCTGGGTTTGGAAAAAGGTGTTCCTAACCGAGGTCTGTTTTTAAAATTTTCAAACGAGTTCAAACTTTCTACTCTATACATGTAACATAATAGACATGTTTGACATGACAACCTCTAATAAGGTGGGAAGCTTTTTTGAATAATGGTAAAAGAAAGGAGCCCTCGCGCACCGCCGTTGTCTGTTTAGCTCAACACGAGCGCGCGCGACGTGTCTTAACATGACGAGGGCGTTAGCTAATTCTTATCTTTTTAGAATCGTACACGTGTGGATACTTTGTCAATAACGAAAGGTTGGAAAAGTAGCATGCATGCACCTTGAGGAGAACCGTGTCACTCCTCGTATTGTCTTCCCTGTCCAACCGAATGGTCTAAGTTGTAGAAAAGAAAACACACTTGGACACAAAAACTCTCTACGCTCCAACTCTCTCAATTTCCGATATATTTTCTGGCAAGTAACACTCCTTCGTTCAAGTCGTTGGTGCACTGTTCTACCGCTTTAGACTTTGCATGTTAGTGATCTTATCTTGGGAGGAGATTGTCCACGTTGCCAGTGCAGGAGACATGCAATACTATCTTAAGGAAAGGTCCAGTGATTCCGCTTTCCTTAACGTTTGCAAGTTCTCTCCGATCACCAGTTCACCACTTTCCAGGCCAAGAAGCTCCAGGATCCGTTTGTCTTTCGATTACCAACGTCAAGTTTATTTTATTATTTCTTCTATTGTAAAATCCAAAGAGATTATAAATTCGAACTATATTGTTTTATTTCTTTCCCCTTGTAATCCTTTGTTCTTACAACAACCATTACCCAAGCCACTAAAGTTCATTTTTTTCACTATAAAGTAGGAGCAACTATAATTCATAAGGAACATATACATAACTTTCTCTCTCCCTCATATACTATTCATCTTCATTCCCTCGAGCTTACATTATGTTTGGTTCAAGGAATTTTGAAGGAAAAGAAAAAGAAAATGGTTTTCTCTTATTTTCTTCACCAAAATAGGAGGAATTTGGTTTTCCCTCCACTTGGTACATTGTAGGCTTCTCATTTTCTTTTCCTTTCACTTTTCTTTTCTAACCAAACAAGAAAACTTGCTTTTCACTTCATTTTCTTTTCTTTTTTCTTTTGAATTCCTTAAACCAAACATAGTGTTAAAGATCCATTAATGGCTTCAAACCCTTCACTATGTACACTAACTCTCCATAGATATAATAAAAGGCCTCTCTCCTCTTTGATCTATATGTTCTTAAAGGCTATCCCAATAGACTAAAACCCATCAAACATTCAAATCCATCAACTTAGACACAAAACTACATACAAAAGGTAAATTAATCACAAGCTAAGGAAGATTAGGAAAGAATAAAATCCTGATTTTCATTATATATATTCAAAGCCATTGTCTTCAAACCAAACAACATTAACTTATACCCATTGAACATCACAAGAAAATGAAATTAATTTAAGCATTCGTTAATCTTAAATAATCTTTACTGAATGTAATAATAATGTTATTTCTCTGTAAAAAATAATTATAATTATTATAATAATAT